CACCGCCGCCCGCATGTCCCGATTTTCCCGGACATGTCCAGCTTTTTGGGCTCCAAATCCCCGTCCAGGGGGAAATCCCAAAAAGCCGGACATGTCCGGGAAAATCGGTGCTGGGCCGGGGGCACCGAGCGCCGGGGGTGCCGGGGACCAGGGGGGCCGAGCACCGGGGGTGCCGGGGGGGCCGAGTGTCCTCCTTTTGGAGGCTCAAAATATGGTAACCCTACCCCCACTCAAAGCTGTGGCCCTGCTCCCAGCCCCAGCAGGGGAGTCTCATGGGGGGAGAGGGGTGGAGGAGAGGAGGGACGCGATGAGCGATGGGGACCTCCAGAGAGGGGGGTGGAGTGGAGGAGAGGAGGGAGACTCACCAGGCAGTGGCTGGTGGTGGGGACCTCGGGGAAGGGGCGGAGCAGGGAGGGGAAGAGGCAGAGGGCAGGCGGGGCCACGGGTGCCGACTTTCTGATTTCCCCAGGGGTGCTCCAACCCTGCTCTGCCCCAGGCCTCACCCCCACTCCACCCCTTCCCCAAAGGGCCCACCCTCACTCCACCTCTTCCCACCCCCACTCCGCCCCCACCCTGCCTCTTCCCGCCCAGTTCCACCCCTTCCCCGAGTGCACCCCACCCTCACTCCGCCTCTTCCTGCCCCCGCTCCTCCCCCTCCCCCCTCAGCACCTCCTGCCCGCCGCTGAACAGCTGATCAGCCGCTGGCTGGAAGCACTGGGGAGAGGTGGGAGGAGATGACCAGAGAGGCTGCTGGTGGGTTCTGAGTACCCACTATTTTTTTCCATGGGTGCTCCAGCCCCGGAGCACCCCCAGAGTCAGCATCTATGGGCAGGGCCACCACGGCCCAGGCATCCGGCAGTGGGACAGCGGTGGCTGCACCGTATTATATCCACCGCCCATGATTGAGGAACTGAGACTTTTCCGTTAGGTACAGGCAGGCTGGTCCAAAAGGCTGGAGAGAGCAGAGAAGGAAAAGGAAATCGAGCCGGAGGGCGGGAAGTGGGCAGCCCTAAAAGCCACACACCAGAGAGCCCTGGAGGCCGGGAAGCAAAAGTTGGAAGCTGAGAAGCAGAAACAGGTGGCAGCAATAGCGACGCGTCGGAGAGCCGAGTGCTCCGCCTGTACCAGGACCACATGGCGGGGACAAACCGTGACCTAGTTACAGAGCAAGGGACGGTGCTGACGCCGATCTGACCGCCTTTGAAAGGATCTGCAGCGGACAGAACATCCCCGAGGGATGGAGCCTGGCTGTTGTGCTCGCCCAGCCGGTGGCTAAAGCGTTACAGAGATGTAATGACATGGCTGTAAGTGAAACTGTGATAGGATGTTTTTAAATTCTCTGTTAAGGAGGTTTCGTGTTACACCGGGGGCCATACCTCCTCGAATTCTTTGAGGTCTGCATCGAAGAAGTGTGAGCAGCTGCGTGGGAGAAGGCTCCTGAATCAGCAGAAACAGCGGCAGATTGCTGACATGTACGGACAAGCAACGCTCTGCAGGGAGCGCAAGCCGGAAAGAGAAGGGCAAAAACCTGGAGTAGGAGTGGGTCCCCGGTTAGTGCCTGGGAATAAGGAACGGGGTGGGGGAGAACAGTCCACACCTCCCCAGTAAACCCTAATTATCAGGCCTGTAATGGGGTACCCTCGCCACTGGGGCGTCTCCCTGCGACTAGGTCTGGGGAGCAGCTCTCTCCTCGTCTGGCATCCCCATGCTGCTCTTTCCCTGGGCTTCGTTCTACTCTGCCTTCCTTCCACAGACTTTCTTGCCGGCAACGCCTCTGGGTGAACCCTTCCCACAGGCTAGGAGCCAAGGACTTTTGCTCCCCCTGGGTTTCCTCCTATCTACCTCTCCGTACCTGGAGAGTGACTGTAGACTGTCCCTGCTGCCCCCTTCTGCTGCAAACTTCCTGGCTTTATACAAGCGCAGCCTGTTTCATCATCCGTTAGCCTGTATCAGGCCCTGGCTCTCCCCCCAGGATGCGGCCTATATGGTTAATAGGCCCTGTCTGAGCCACCTTAACCCCTTCAGGGCTAGTGTGGGGTGAACACCTCATCCCAGGACCCCAGCCCAAGAGAGGGCCCCGGAAAGTGTTACTCATGTGGTCCCCTTGAGCAGCGTACGAGGCTCCCACATTCAATCCCCGATCCGCCTAGGTTAACCTAACTACCCTGGAGTCAAAGACTTCAGGGGTTGTCAGAGGGAGCTGTGGCTAACTTTGCCACCTCTGACCTCTGGGAGGAAGACAGAGAGTTTAATAAAAATGGGCTAAGGCCAGTGAGACACCTATGCTCTCGGATCTCCCTAGGCAGGAGAGCTGTGATTCAGGAGAGCAGCGCGCTCCCTGGAGAAGAGGTGAGCCTGCTAGCTTAAGACCTGGTTAAAACCACGGTGCCATTAGCCTGCATCAAACAGCAACGGGAAGGTTTAAATAGCTTCAAAGTGGGTATTCTTGAGACTTTGCCAGCTGTAGCCAGGGGGGCGCCGTGGTCAAGAGGCAAGGAGCAGGGCAGGCCTGGGGCGCGAGGCTGCGGAAAGGAGCTCGGGGCCATGGGGAGGGGATGCAGTGGGGCCTGGGGGTGATGGAGGGGAGCCCAAGGATGCAGCGGGGGCAGGGACGATGGGGGAATGGATGAGAAGGCAGCCCTTCCTTGGACAGGGCTGTGTGAGTTGATCTGGGGGTGGGTGAGGTTCCTAGGGTATCCCTGATGTATCCCCATGTGTCAGGAGAGGGTGGGGAATCTTGAAGGGAGTCCCAAGTAGTGGGGGACTTGGGGGTAACACTCTGGGGGGATCAGCAGGCAGGGGGGTTGATGGGGAAATCTCTGGAGGGGGTCCCCAGTGCGAGGGGATCTCTGGGCAGAGGGGCCCTAAGGATGTCCCCATAAGGAAGTTAGGAGCAGCATGGGATCTCAGAGAGGGGCAGTGGGTGGGGCCTGGGGTGAGATGCCTGGCTCCCCCTAGAGGAGAGGGAAGGATGGACAATGTCAGGGGGGAGGGGCTTTTTTGGAGGGATCAAAAGGGAAACCCCGCCCACTGGGGGTGGGGGAGCCCAGAAAGAGGAGGGAGATTCCCTCTGGGGCTTGGGAAGCCTAGGGAACAGGGATTTCCGGGGGAAGCCCTTCTCTGAAGGCAGGTCACTGACTCACTGGAGGGGGGGTGGGGAATCCCCGGGAAGCCCCTCCCCCTAGAGGCGGGTCACTGGGGAGGGGGATCCCAGCGAAGCCCCGCCCCCTAGAGGCGGGTCACTGGGGAA